CCATACTTTTCACTTAGACACTCCATCTTAAGTCTGTTTCAATTGAACACTCCAACCACATCCTGAATGTGTCATTTAGACACAAAATTGATAGGCAGCCAAATACAAAAAAAGCGTGTATTTCACAGGCCGAAATGACGAATAAGACGGGGACAAGTGGATATAACTTGAACAAATTAAAAAAAAAAATTAACGGGAAACAAGAACCCATCCCACCCCTTTGTCATCTTCCCCAAGACCCCAACGACTTCCCTTCCCTCCTTCCGTCTTCTTCTTCCAAAAGAAAGAACAGAGGTACAAACTCACTCCCCTGCCACCACTCTTTTTCCTCCTAATCTCCACCTCCAACCCTCTACAATATTAAGAACATGCATAAGACATAGAAATTAACTAATAATTTCTCTGTCACGGAGGATTAATCCCAGATTGTCAGAAATTACACCCACCACAACAAGCTATCGAGATCTTCTGGAATCGAACAATACACACCAAATACACCAAATATTCTGTCATGGAGCAATTTCTGTCAAAACTTTTCTTCTTTTTTTTCTTTTTGTTGAAAGCTCCTTCTTTTAGTAGTTGTTTGAAATCTTTGACCAAGAATGATTCGCTAGAGATCGTTTCTGAAATTTTGAATTCCTGTGAATATGAGATGCTTAAAACTCTATTGGTGTTGGTTATTTATAGTTTGTTACTATGTGTATAATGTGCATGTGAGATTTTATCTGCCTTTTAAGATGGCCAAATACATCGCCAGCCCCTTAAAGTTGTCCATACTTTTCACTTAGACACTCCATCTTAAGTCTGTTTCAATTGAACACTCCAACCACATCCTGAATGTGTCATTTAGACACAAAATTGATAGGCAGCCAAATACAAAAAAAGCGTGTATTTCACACGCCGAAATGACGAATAAGACGGGGACAAGTGGATATAACTTGAACAAATTAAAAAAAAAAATTAACGGGAAACAAGAACCCATCCCACCCCTTTGTCATCTTCCCCAAGACCCCAACGACTTCCCTTCCCTCCTTCCGTCTTCTTCTTCCAAAAGAAAGAACAGAGGTACAAACTCACTCCCCTGCCACCACTCTTTTTCCTCCTAATCTCCACCTCCAACCCTCTACAATATTAAGAACATGCATAAGACATAGAAATTAACTAATAATTTCTCTGTCACGGAGGATTAATCCCAGATTGTCAGAAATTACACCCACCACAACAAGCTATCGAGATCTTCTGGAATCGAACAATACACACCAAATACACCAAATATTCTGTCATGGAGCAATTTCTGTCAAAACTTTTCTTCTTTTTTTTCTTTTTGTTGAAAGCTCCTTCTTTTAGTAGTTGTTTGAAATCTTTGACCAAGAATGATTCGCTAGAGATCGTTTCTGAAATTTTGAATTCCTGTGAATATGAGATGCTTAAAACTCTATTGGTGTTGGTTATTTATAGTTTGTTAGCTATTCATATATGGTGTTTGGATTGAAAATTTCGGACAATTTTGTTGGGTTTAGAGATCTGCTTGAATCTCATTATTTGGTTTGAAAACTTTCGGATCTGACTCTGAGCATATGAATGTTGAAGTTTGAATCCCAAAATTTTTGGATCTTTGGTTATTGTGAAAAGAATCATCTAGGTTATTAACTTATAACTCAAAATCAACTATTAGTTAGTTCGTGATAATCAAAAATTCATAATAGCTATTGTTGAGGTTCGAGTCTTTAGCGGAGAAGAAACAAAGAAGAACAAAATATTTGAGGTTTTTCTGGTGATTTCCATTTATTCTGGCAATGGAAACTAGAATAGTAAGGTGATGGTGGTGGACTAGTGGAGGGAGAGAGGAAGGTGGTGACCTGGACAATGGCATGTGAAAGAATAGGAGGAAAATGAAAAAAGGAAAAAATTATAAAAGGTAAAATTGAATTCTAACGCTCTGAAAAATGGTGTAATACACACACTATGTCACATCATCAAATTGTGTCTAAATGACACATTTGGGATGTGATTGGAGTATTCAATTGAAACGGACTTAAAATGAAGTGTCTAAGTGAAAAGTGTGGACAATTTTAAGGAGCTGACGATGTATTTGGCCTTTTAAGATCAACAATAACTGGCATAAAGTAGTTTAGTAGTGCTCCAAAACCAAGAAAACTTCCGTCCTCCCCATGATTGGTGATGACTGATGAGCGGCTCCGAGGCTCTTACATATATGATTTACTCTTGGGAGTCTGAACGTGATGTTACTTCAATGTCATGGATATATTTAGTAGATTCTTATTGCAAAAAGTAATATGACAACATTGTTTCATAGGGATGGAGTCATTCCATTAATACTATCAGGGAGAGCTAGAGCGACTGATTCGGGGCTAAAGATACAATGCTTCATTGCTTACAATCTTTAACATTTCTAAAGTTGTGCCACATTGAGATTATAATGGCTCTAGATGGATTATTGAACTTCTACTGTTTCTATGTTTCCCATTAAGTACTTGCTATAAAAACTAATACAAATTGCAGATTGAGCCTTCTACGCATAAGGGGCATGGATTAAAGGCAATGGTTCTCCATACTTTTTGTGTCCTTGTATTTATTAATCTCTCATAGTTGAAGTTATTTTCCTACTCCAATTTCTTTTCTTTTTTTAAAAGATATTTGTATTATTTACTTATTAAAAAAAGAAGATATTTTGTATGCTTTATGTATATTATAGATCCGTTGTTTCTAGGTAATCATTGAACTCTGCAAGTTGTCTCTAGTGGAGGATATCTATTTGTCACTACCAGTTTTTTTAATTTCTATGTAAACACTAGATGATTTACATATTGATTATATAGCTTCACAGAAGAAATTGTCTTTGAAATGTGTTATAAGCGGCAGAGGTATTAAGCACCTTGACTCAACTAAATCGGGATACATTGCAATTTATGTTGTCAAAGATTCTTAATATATCCTAGTTGCGTACAACATAGAAATTCCAGAACAAGATAAAAATTGATGAGAGAAACTTAGGTCCTATTTTCTGCTGCATGTCTGTTATCATTCATAAGCTTAAACTATATCGATAATTTGTTCCTCCTTGGACACAGGATTTAATGGTTTAATTAGTTAAGAATGTTAGAGTTTAGTGATCAGTTATAAATGTCAAACCTTTTTCAAAGATTTGGCAGCACAATGCTAGTTGCATGGGGTGTTTGTTGTTGTTATTTATCAGGGGGGGAAATTAGGTTTCTGTTTTTGTTGTGACATAACAATATGCATCAGAATTGAAATGACCATGTTGTTTCTTATATAATCCTTTACTTTGGGTTTAGAAAGGAGAAAGTGAGAGAGACTCCATTTGTAGTGATTAGACTTTAGATTGTGCACGAATGATATGTTAGAACTCTGATATAACTCTGTTTGTCTTCATGTTGTGTTATGCTTTGCTCCACTGATACAATCTTGATAATATATTTTTTATACATTTAACAAGTTATGTATGGGGTCCTTATGATACATATTTAATGCACATACTATCTACGTGTATGTATCTTGTCTACTGGTACCATATTTTTTGATAGGTCGACTATTCATTGATTCGCCAATTAGCTTTTGAAAGATGTGTTTGGTAAAATAGGCTGCTTTTAAAGTCGGAATAAATTGTACTACAGTAATACAGAGCAGATGGCTGTTTGTTGGCACCTTGTCAGGATTAACTAGTGGTTTTAGCTTGCTTTTGACGGGCAGCTAGTTCTATCATAAGTTGATAGAAAGGTGAAAACAATGATTTTAGGTAATTTCCAGGTCAGAGTTTCAAAACTCGGTTATTTGATGATTACGTAGAATCTCTACAAGGCTTCTCATGAAAGCATATGCTGCCATAAACTAATAGTCATTTAGAACAGCAGCATTCTTCCACCTTAGGATATTTGGTACTTATGCCGAAAAACCTAGTTCGTAAGGTCTAGAAGGTATAAACATGAAGCTTTTGGGCCTTGGCTTGTTATAGACATCCTCCAAAGAAATACACCAGAATTCCCATATATCAGTTGCCAGAGCTCTTCCTAAATAAGTATCTTTTATCTGTCCATGTCATTCTTAATTATAATAAGAAATTCATTGAGCAATTGTTTGTTTGTTAACCTGTATATCAGTTTGATCTTACTAAAGATTTTGTCCTTGCAGATGGATAACCCTTGTCAAAATCAGCACTGCTGTGATAGTTTGCATCACATTGCCTCTATGGAAAAGATCATCAGAAACTGTAGTTTGCTGCAAAAGAATAAGAGGGATGGACATCTTTATTTGGATCAGACTAGTGTATATGATTATATGTATATGTAAATTGGTCTAAATTTGAATTTTTTTTTACAAATGTCTTCTCTCTTTCATGTTAGGTTAGCTACTATGTAACATTTTTCTGATGGCAGAATCAGTTAGACATTTTGTTGAGTCTATTTTAATATCGAGTAGCTTTTGCACATTCATACTGCATGAGAGTTGCCGTTTAGCATCATCTTCGTGCTTACTTGATTACATTTTAGATGCTTTTCAGTTGTTGGCGAGTTCGTATTTTTTTTCTTTTTGGTCATGCTTTTGTGAGTTCAATTCATGTTTGTTCGTATTGTTACTGATGGCATATGGGCCATTCCTCTTATTTTCACTGGTTGGTCAATTGACATGTTTAGCATAATTCCTCAAATGAGTGTTGGTCATCTGATAACATTGAAACTGGGTAGGCAATATGGTTATCCATGTAATTGACATTTGTGCAAGAATACATATAATTGGTGGAAATTTATTTACTTTAGTAAATGTTCGTTCTTTCTTCGGTTGAACTTCAAACAAGCAGACGAAAATATAGAATTAACAAATCTATCGCAAGATATACTCCAGCATTTGTTTTACCAATGTAGAAATTTGGTTGAAAAAGAAGCAAGGTCCACATACTCCTCTTCTTCAGTAGTTATATTTGTCCTGGAAACTTGGTAAGTCGCGGAAATATTTACAGACATCAAATGCAGATATAAATCTAAATGAGACTACTCAAACTTCTTTATCAGGGATAGATCATTCAGCATTTTCTCGATTGCCTCCTCATCAAGCGTGCGACCTCTATTCTGCAACCAATGAAGGAAGTTCATCAGCCCAAGTCTACTGAGATAATACAAGTATTGAGCAAATGATACCAGCTTATAAACACACAAGCCAAGAAAAAGAACTGTACTGAACAGAACGCCAGGAAGTTACATATGAACTGTCAAACTAGAGCTGCATGGTAGGTACTGCAGCAGCAACAACAACCAGTATAATCCTACTAGTAGGGTCTGGGGAGGGTAGTTTGTATGCAGATCTTACCCCTACCCTACCTAGGGCAGAGAGGCTGTTTCCGATAGACCCTCGGCTCCCTCCCTCCAAGAACTCCTCACCTTGCTCTTGGGGTGACTCGAACTCACAACCTCTTGGTTGGAAGTGGAGGGTGCTCACCACTAGAGCAACCCACTCTTGTCATGGTAGGTACTGCAGATTCTAGGATATTTTAAAAGAGACCAATAATGTAATGATATGATCTCCGGTAATGCATCTGACCCAAGCCAGCACTATGGCACAATTCACTTCCACCAGACCCATGGTGGATAATGTTTTCTTTTTTGGGGGGTGGGGGTGGAGTGGGATTTTATGAAGATTCATGGATAATAATTTCCCCCTGAGCTTGTCCCGTTTTTTAAGTTGCACACTTAAAACTTTGCGAGGTCCCTTCACTACCATGTAATAAGAATTGAAACTTGAAATAGAGTCAAGCTTAACACTCAAAAGAAATACTCAAAAAAAAAAAAAAAAAAAAAAAATCACAGTCAATTTATAAAATTGTACTCTGACAACTTGACTAAACTTCAAAGCATTTCTTAAGGGACTCAGTGTTAGAAACTTGAGTAAATTTTATACGCAATACTCTCCTCGTAAATGGATCAAATGTAAAGCACAAAGATAAGAAAACATAGGGTTTAACATGTACAACAATTTAGGGACACAAGACCAGCAAGAATAAGCAGTTGACTGTAGGAAATCTATGTGTCTTCTTTCTTCAATTGACCATGATTACCAAGGGAAATCAGGTACCTTTATAGATGGGACCATGGCAATAGCTTCCTCAACAGTTTCTGGACAAAGATTCCCCAGGACGCAGAGCTGCCAATGTACAACATTTAATAATTGCAGCTTCCCATAAAGGTATAAATAATAAAAAAAAGATAGATGTATAAATAAGATGTAGACAAATGCTAACCTCGAATTCAGCAAGTTGATATCTGCTAAGGATTCTAAAAGCAAGTTAAGATCCACATTTTATAAGAAAGTTGTGTCAATTGTTTTTCAAAACGAAAGGCACAAAAAAGTGACAGGGTCCATGGAACTGGAAATGAAAAGCGAGAAGTGAAGCACAAAATTTTAAAATACCAAAAATATATTAATTTTGTACTATAATAATCAAACTGTAATGAAAATGATTAATCTCAGCATTCGATAAACAAGAATGACACTATGAATCCAACTCCTCAAAGTTGAGATCTAAAGAACCGGCCATTTTTTGTCACCTGTGAAGCGATAACCCCTTGCTTCACATCGCTTTAATAACAGTGGTAGTATTTGAAAATCCCAATGATATTCCAAGGAATGATACCCTGGCATTTCAAAATGTCAAACCATAAAAAGCTCTGCATGATAGGATTTGATAGAAACATCTTATTTCTTAGGGTTGAGGATCTATAGAAATGGTCTCCTTGGCTTGACCAGTCCAAGTATACTTACTAAAAGAGGTTATACCACAATATGCAGCTCTATGTGCTTCCTTGCCTTAATTCTTTCTTTACTCTCTCTCACTTTTGATAAATTCAAGAACGTCACTTTTCATTATATATCACATGCACCCACTGTAAATATGTTAATCTACATCTCCAGGTATAATTAGAGAGAGACTATGATGCATATACTTCTTAGTCACTAATTATTTTCCCAAACTTTTCATATACTAAAACACTCATATCACTTGAGACCATAAAGTGTGCCATATACATGTAGTGTCTGCAGCATATGCAAAAAAGAATGCAGATAATTTCTTTGTATGCACCAGATTTGGAGGATACTCTCGAACTTGTCTAACAGCATCAGGATTCTTGTACCGGCTGAAACGCTTCACATACTGCAGTGACTTCTCAAACACTCTGAAAGACAAATAATTTTAGTGAGTACACTTCAAAACCAAGCACCCAATACATGCTCAAACAAAATATTTAACGGTCAAAAACATGATATAGTTGATTTTCAAAGAGAAGAAAACTGAACAAAGCACACCACATCATGAAATAGATTTTCTAAAGTAGGAGAAAAGGTACTTCCTTTTTTGTATATCTGTCTTGTTACATGTATTTATCCTCAAATGTATATATTTACATAAAAAAAACTTCAGAAAGCTGTCAAAGAGGGACCTCTTGAAACAAAAGAAGTGAGAAAAACAAACGCCAGTAGATCCTCCCTTTTTCGGTTGGCCACCTATTCTCCATAGTTCCCAACTTATTCCACCATTTCCTAAAATTTAGATTATTAGGACAGCCAGCCTGGATTAAACGAACAACTCTATTAATTATATGGACATAAGAAAAACGTCAATTCAACAATGTTTTACCATTCATAAGTTCTTTAACCGCTGCAAATTCTAAAAAAGATTATCAAAACTAAAAAGATGTAACTTACAGAATAGAGCAAAGGATCCAAAAACAAAGTATGATTCAGCGGGCAGCTCAAAGATCCACGAGAAAAGGGAAATGAAATGTTTGAGTTCATATTCTTACTGGGAAACTTGATTGCTCGGATCATCAGACATCTGCTGAATCTGCTCATACTTGTGTTCAAGAATCAAAGAAACTTCAGAGTTCATTAGACACTTGGCCTTCAAAAACTCTGAAACCAAAGTAACATAAAACATTAAGCTCCACCTACTTATAACATGTAAGCATCAACAGGACAAGAAGGAAAGAACCTATCACTTCAAAGAGACACCAACTAATCCAAATACCAGAGACAACCAATTGGGGAGTGACTAGTAATTTTCAATTTTAGTTTTGCAAAATAAAGAATACCCATAAATCATTTACTTCCCTTCAACTTTTGCAGTGAACAAGACCACACACACGGCACACACACACACGGCACACACGCAGACAATACACATATAAGTACTACATACACACAAAAAATATGTGTGTATCTATATATTTTGAACAGTGTGTGTGTGCGAGCGCGTACACTCGGAGTTTGTGCGCACATACACACATACCCTTTTGCGACTAGAGGCGGAGCCAAGGGTTGAAATTTACGAACTTGCGACTGAACCCATAGCTCGTCTTAGTTACCGAGTTCGCAATTAAATATTTACCCATATTTATGGACTTCCTCATACGAATATAGGGTCTACACAAAAGTTACCAGGTTCGTCCGGACCTGTAGCAGATACTCTAGCTCCGCCCCTGTTTGCGACCAAGTAAAACCTAAAAGGGGAGAGGGGAATTCTTTTTATTTTCCTAAAATTTGGATTGCATTAACAAAATAGTTCCATGGATTGGCAACTATCTTCATGTCGCTTCTCCAAATCAACACTTCTGCAAACTCCATCAAAATCCATTGATAGCAAAAGCATAACATTTTTTTCCACTTCCTTGCACTAAGATTAAACAATTTAAAGATAAAATCAGTCTAATTTTCTCATCAAATTCAGTTATTTAGGAATCTACTGGCCCAAGGATTACAAAGTAACAAATAAAATTCGAGGGTTTGGGAAAAAGTAAAGAAAGTCAAACGGCTGAACAGAAAAGGAAATTCAATAAAAATTACCGTCGCCAATTTTGAGTTCGGCTGCATTTTCTTCTTCATCCAAAGACATGTTGAGAGTACGACGACACAATTACACAAAACCGCGCAGAAAATGTGGAACCCTTTAAAGGCAAGAGGTAGAGGTCTTAGGCCTCATTTTTTTTTTTAAAGATTAAACTCTCAATCTGAATACATATGAATATTTAAGACATTTGAATCTCAATATACAGCTGAATATTAAGATGTGTATTAAAATCTAAATAATAAATGATTAAGATTGTTTGATTTTTAACATATGAATGTATAAGATTTATTTTTATTTGAAAATTAATAAATATAAAATTCAAATGAAATATTAATTAATCTAATATATATAATTAAGTAGGCGGCTGGTCGTAGAATAGTCTTTTCACTAAGTGATGTTGCAGTTGTATTCTATTAATAAAATATATAGTTTTTAAAAATATGATAGTTATTAGTGGTGATTGCTAACGGGTGAATGCCGACTAGAGGCAGTGGTTGGTGGTGGTTCAGGGTAGTAGCTAGTGGCAGTGGCGAAGCCACATAGTTATAAGTGACCACCCTTTGTCGAAAAATTGCACTGTGTACATAGGTAAAATATTACGTTTTAGAGGTATATAACACATATTGAACACTCTTTGTCGTAAATTTTTTCCCCTTTTTTAAATTTAAACACCCTTGGAGAAATTCTTAGCTTCGCCACTGGCTAGTGGTGATTGGTAATGGTGACGATTATGATTGAGGATGATGGTGGTGGGTGGTGATAGTTAATAATGGCGGGTGGTAGTGGTAGTGGTAGTTGTGATTGAGGAAGGTGGTGGTGGGTGGTAATATGTTATAATGATGGGCAGTGCCCGACTGTGGTTGTTGATGGTGATGGGGTAGTTAGTTGTGGTAGTTGAGGTGAATGAGTGTTAATTGTGATTGAGAATGATGGTGGCGGCAGTGGTGGAGATGGTGGGTGGTGATAGTCGATAATGGTGGTGGCTATGATTGATGATGATGGTGGTGTGGTGGTGGTAGTGGCGGTATGGTGGTAATTGATAACGGTAGGCGTTGCGGCAATTAATAATGAATATGGATGATAGCATCTTAATGAAATCAAGTCTCTGTTATAGATCTTAATCATACAGACCTATTCAGACCCATTAAGTGATTGTGAAGTAGAAAAAACAAACATACTTAATGATTAAGATCTGAATAATTAAGCTTCAAACTTTAATAACAAATGCACTTAACGTTTGCGATCTGAATGATTAAGATTCAGACCTCCATTAAGTACAAACAAATGAGGCCTTAGGGAAAGTGAGTTTTTGAATATTGTGTGAAATAGAGCGGTGCATAATTTGGTAAATATAGAGTTAGCATAGTGAAATCGAATTTTTTGGTATTTTGGTATTATTTTTTTGTGGTCAGAAGGATAAATATTTATATATAATACTAAGTTAACGTTGATCTTACATTAGGTTGCTGAGGAGCTGAGTCCATCGTACCAAATAGAGAGTAGTCCAAAGCTACATTTACAATATTATAACTTTTAATATTCCTTTCAAAAATAGTTACTAGGGTGTCTGCCCATAGTACTTCATTGACAAACACCGGAGGAACTACCAAAAAGTTGATTCCTGCTTCCAACTTCTTCCCTGCCTTTGTTGCCAATTTGTCTGCCACCCTATTGGTGGATGGCCTAGAGCTGCTAGGAGAGACCTGCATTCACAGATCAAAGGATCATATATCAGATGTCCATTGTTGATGCATTGTATTACCTCTGTCGAGTCTACAGTGGCCTCTAAAGGTACTAAATTGTTTGATATTGCCATCTTTAGGCCTTACTAGAAAGTTGTTAGCTCATAATGAAGAGTATTTGCTTGATTTTTCCCATAAACTATGTTACCCAATCCCCATTGCTATTTCTAATTACCCCTCCCATTCCTCCTGTATTTTCTTTTTGATGGTTAGCACCATCAGTTTTAGCTTGTAACACTCCCCCTATTGGGCTGCCATTTAATTGAGATAATAATATTGTGCCTGGGCTCTTTTTCTCCTATTGCTATGTACATAAATTTTACAGCATTGTTAATGGCCACTCTAAAGGGAACATGATCCTTCATATGATTGAAGTTGTTAATGTTCATAGTTATCCAAATCTACCAGAGCCAGAGAGGGATTAAATGCCCCTATTTGAGCATGTCATTGAAGGGTTGGTGCTTTACTTTGTTAAGAGTGTGCCTCCAGTGTATTTGGCTAATTACCAGGTTTGGGATACTGAGGTTGGAATGGCTTTGCTCAGCTAACTTGTTCCAGCATTGGATAGCATTGTCACATTTGATGAGCAGGTGCTCAATTGTTTCTTCCTCCTTATTACAGAAGAGGCACACAGGGTTAAGATTCATACCCCTGGAGTGGAGGTATTGGGTTGTAGGGAGCCTACCATGGGTTACTAACCAAAGAAAATATTTTATCTTGTTTGGCAATTTTTGGGCCCAAATCCAGTTGAAGTCTTTCCCAGAGTTGTGATCTTGATGGTGGTTCAGACTTCTTATGAGGGTATAGGTAGCTTTGGTTAAAAAGAGGCCACTTCTATTTTGGTTCCAAACCATCATATCCAAATTCCCAGAGTTAGGATTAACAAGGGTAGAGTTTATAGTAGTAACTACCTCCTCAGGGAGGTTAAAAGAGATATTACTAAAGTCCCAATGTCCCTCAGTGTAGCATAAGTCTACATTTAAATTCTCCTCTCCCCCGTTTAGTGGGCCACTGATAAAGGTTAATTCTATCCCCTTTGTGAACTACCCACCTAGTAGCCTTACTACAAACAGACCAACCATTCTTAACTGTCCTAGAGGCTATGCGCTTAGAAGGGTTTCTGCTAGTAGAGTGCTTGTGGAATAGAACTCTGGTCCACAGGGCATTGGGATTGTTGTACATACTCCAAACCAGACCAGTGTGAGTGGCAGTGTTTATGCTTTTAGTAGTCTGCACTCCCAAGCCACCCTCCTCCTTTGGCTTGGTCATGATTTTTCACCCAACTAGGTGCATTTTCTTTTTTGCTGTAGTGGTACCCCAGATGAAATTCCTCTGTATTTTGTCAATTTGTTTACATACCTAGGCTGAGAGCTTAATATATTGCATGGCATGGCTAGGGATGCACCCAAGTGAGGACTTAGCTAGAGTTGTTCTCCCAGTCATATTCAGGAATTAGGTTTTTCAGCCTACAAGCTTAGTCTGCATACTATCAATGATAAACTGGTAGTCTCTATTGGTGGGTCTTTTATGGAAGATGGAAAATCTCAGGTAACCACCAAATGAAAGGCTGGGTTTGATGATCAATATTCTGGCTAGTTTATGTACTTCCTCATGGTGGCAATTTGTGGAGAAGATAACTTTGGACTTGATGTTATTTACCTTCTGGCCAGACTTACAACTAAACTTATGAAGGGTTTCTATTATGCTATTGCATTTCTTGGTGTTTACTATAGCAAAGAGAGTGAGGTCATCTGCAAAGAAAAGGTGGGAGATTTTTTGCCTTGTTTGACTGATTTTGATAGGGAACCAACTCTCAATATACACTTTAGCATCAGCACTTCTAGATAGTCTCTCCATACACATGATGAAGATGCAGGGAGACATCGGGTCTCCCTGTCTGATGCCCCTACTAGGCTTAAGGTACTCAATCCTACTCCTATTGACAAGCACATAGATAGAACTGGTAAAAATACATGACAGAATCAGCTTGGTGATGTTGCTAGAAAATCCAAAATAAAGCAGGGTGTCTCTGATGAAGGACCATTCTAACCTATCAAAGGCCTTTTCCAGATCAATCTTTAGGATCATGTTGACATTTCTGCCTTTCATTTTCTTAAAGTGACTAATGTATTCTTGCACAATAATGACATTATCAAAGGCCCTCCTATTAGAAAGGAAGCTAGCTTGGCTAGGGCCTATAATAGAAGGCAAAATAAGCTTAATTCTGTTAATAATAATTTTGGTGATCAATTTATATATTGTATTTCATAGGCCAAGAGGTCTAAAGTTCTTCAGCACTGTTGCATTTACACATTTAGGGATTAGGCACAAATAAGTAGTGTTAACCACAGGGTTCATTTCAAGGGTGTGGAAGACCTACTTATAAAATCTGTTACCTTACCCTCAAGGACATTCCAATATTTTTGGTAGAATATTGGGTACATGCCATCAGGTCCAAGGGCCTCAGAAGGTTTGAATAAGAATAAAGCATTCTTTATCTCACTATTCCTCAGGGAAGCTCTAAGAATGTTATGTTCCCTAAATTAAAGAGTATGTGAGACATATGGGGTGGTATCTCTACTATTGGTAGAAGATTGGTGGTCAATGGTGAATAGGGATGAGTAGAACTGGAATATGGCTTTTTTAATTCCCTTGTGCTCATCTATCCAATCCCCTGCCTTATTTTGGAGGGTCAGAATCCTATTCCTTCTTCTTCACATCTCCCTCCATTAGCCAGTTTATCCTAGATTTTGTTTTTCAAAATTCTTTTTCACTTCTCAGAATGGCTGAATAGTCTTCTAGGAATTGACACTCTAGTTGTTGAAGGTAAGGGCTAAAAGGGTATGTATTAGACTTTTGGATGCCTCCTAGCCTAGCCAGTACATACTTTTTTTTATGGAAGATGTTACCAAAAACTAACTTGTTCCAAGTAGTAACCTCATTTTGGAATTTGGTAGTTCCCTCAAGTAGGTTACAGGTACCCTCATAGGCCTGCTGGACCACATTGGTGAGGGAGTGGTGGCTGCACCATATGGGCTTAAATCTTAAGGATTTAGAGAGACCACTAGGCATAAACCAAAGATTTATTAGCATAGGGCAGTGATCAGAGTAAGTTTTAGGAAGCTGGCTAATTGAGCTAGAAGGAAATTCCTGGATTCAATCATCATTAGCAAAACACCTGTGTAGTCTTTCCAAGATTAAATGGCTCCTCTTCCTATATCTCATGTTATTCCAGATAGGTGAGGCCATCAACTTAAAACTTACATTCAGTTATTGACAATGGGAGGTTGTTCATTGTTTGCCTTAGGGAAATGACATGTAGTTGTAGAAGGTTTCAGTTAGATCAAATACCATGTCCGCATGCGTGGGCAATGTTGAGGTTAAAAAACTTAGAGGGTGAAGATTACTGCTCTATGTACTACAACAATGAATACATGTTGAAAGCATACGGCATTCCAATTTATCCTCTTCCAGATGAAAGTACATGGACAATACCTGCAGAGGTATTAGAACAAATTATGTTGCCACCAACTGGAAATAAGATGTCTGGAAGATCTAAGAAGGTGAGATACAAGAAGGTTTCAGAATCACAAGCTAAGAGGCCAAAGAGTTCATGCAGACAATGTGGACGTGAGGGCCACAATAGGAGAACATGTAGAAATATACCTAATCACCACTGAGTGGTGTTGTTCCCAATAGATTATAAGAATTATTAGTTTAAATAAAATGTAGGCCTTAAATATAAATGATTGATGTATATATATATATCAGGTTTATTAATGATGAGATATTATCCAGTACAAGTGCAAATGAAGTTATTTAAATTTTGCACTTTTATATTCAATTTTTAATTTATTAGAGGTTGCATTTTCGCATGTATATCAAAATGTATCATATAATTGTGTTGGTCGAGATCAATATATTAAGTTGTGCAGGACATGTATATCATCATGTATATTATTGCAAGTACATGTATACATTTTTCTAGCACATGATTTTGAACTATTTAATAATTTTATATGAAGTTGCATTAGTATGTTGTCATATTGAACACTAAATTTATTGACACGGAAAGGTATAACATTATTTAAGGATATACAAGTTAGGATATACATCTCTGTACTTGTTATACATACAACTATACAAGATATACATATAGTTAGTCGTATATCTATTAGATATATATATATATATATATATATATATATATATATATATATATATATATATATATATATATCAGGATATACATGTTAATTCAATTAAATGTATACATGTAGTTGTACAATAAAGTATTGATATACATGGGCATTGAGATATACACAGTACTGGTGCTGTTAGTTAACAAATATACATAACCTAGTTTACTATATACATGTTATTTATAGCATGACACAAAATAGTTTAATTTTTAATTATACTAATTATTTAAAAAAGATAGTTAATGCGTATTAGCTAGGGGGAGGGAATTGCAAAATGGCCAACATCCATTTCTGTTTGTTATCAAAATCGGCAAAAGAAAAAGAAGCTAAGCAATTCACACAGTCTGCTGTCTTGCTTAATTTACACACTATCGAGTGTCGACTCACATGTTAGAAAGACATGATCATGAGCAACAAAATTTAGACATACACATCTAAATTTTTAAAAATAGAATAAATAGTAAAAAAAACTTAAAAATTGCATAAATATCGAAATACACGTGCTACATACTAGTAATTTCTTAATTTGACAACAAAAGCAAAAGATACTTTCATCCTGCAAAAGATAAATAATATATTGAAAATATTGTACCATAAAAATCCATAAATAAAATACAAATGTATTTACAGATCCCAAAATAATAGATAACTAAACTAGAGAATAAGACTAATTGTTCTTCAATATTACAGGAGCATATTTTTGGAAACTTCTTTTAGAAAACTCTGGCTCACTTTCATCTTCGTTCTCTTATTTGGTTCTGCCATAATCCCACAACAATGTACCAAGTCATTTGTGATATTGCTTTGCATCGAATTCAACTGGAATTGGTCTTTGATGGATAAAATATTCGGCAAAAGATGTCACATATACACCACAATCACTAAAAAAAAAATGAAGAGACGTTAGAAGGATTCAACACCCTTTAATAATATATTATTATTTTAAGAAATTTTTAAAAAGATTGAAACTTAACATACGCGTGTTCTTGTTGTGGCAAATCATCAACCATGTGAATTTCTAACACATCAGCAAGTGGACTGTCTCTGTAGAGTTCATTGGTCAAATCAATATCATGTCTCTTCCTGTAAAAGCCTGCACTAGCCAAGAAACGAGTAATCAACACTGCATATGGTTCAACAGCCTCACGAATTTTAGCATCATGTGCCGCTCCTCTGATGGAATCATACACGTGTATGCACCTATCCTTAAAAATCAACACACCCAAAATTCAATGCCATTCATTCTTCAAGCCTATAGGAATTAGTACATGATTGACGGTGTGCCACGGAACATTGCAAGGTATGTCTGAGCCTCGCATATACTCAGCTGTTTCATGATCTTTAGGGATGACACCATAGTCCTTATTGCTCGCAAGAAATTGATCATACAATGATTTTATCTTTATACAAAATGGAAAATTTGTTGTGGTGAAGGACTTTGGAATGTTAACATAATACTTTATCTTTTTCCTTAGATAGTAGAAGATGACATCAATATGCTGCCAAAAAAAATAAAATAGATTTCATTCAATAAATATAACAATTAAAGATTTTTTTTAAAAAACCAAGTATATAAGCAAAGACATATGTGTTTCAAGTTAAACATTATACGATATACAATCAATGTCTTGATATACACGAAATAAATGAATGTAAACATATAATTATGTGTTTTACAGTTAGATATATATGTCAGGATATACATGTCAGTACATGAGAAATACATCAACATACAAGATATACATCTAGTTAAAAAATAAAATTGTGTTTGATATACATGTAGAAATATACTATATCCCTACAATTGACTGTTTTAATATACATAGCATTATTCAAGTCAGTTATACAATTAATTTTATGATGTATATGTGGTTTAATTTTAAGCAATTTGCGACCGAATCAGTCGCTAATTTTGCGACTGATTCAGTCGCTGACCAGAAATAAAATAAACAAATACAAATATAAAGTTGCGACCGATTTTGTCAGAAAATTTAAAAATAAAATTAGTTTTTAATTAATTATTCCGACTGAAACAATCGTAAATATTGAATTAAAAATTCCAGAAATTCTCCATGTGCAACTGATTCAGTCGTAAATCTTAATTAAATTTTGTTAGAAATTTTCAATTTGCGACTGAATTAGTCGCAAATCTGGATAATTCATGGTGAAATTTGCGACTGATTCAGTTGCAAATCTAGGCAATTTTAAGCAGAATCATGCTATATTTCTAATTACACCAACTGCCAAATAAAATAACCAACCAAACAATTAACCAAAAACCTAATATAACAATCCAAAAATCTAATATAACAATCTCAAATCCAATATTTACTACAAAACGAACAATATCATTTATAACAATTCAACCAAGTAATCAAACAACCAACTATCAAACTTGTCTCTAACTTCAACTCTAAAATATTCAAATAGCCTATTCAGAATCAGTCTCTTCGCTGCGGCTGCACGATCGAACCATCATCTGTATTAAAGCAAAGAGGATTGTTAGTTGCAAGTCATCATTCAACACATTCAGTACTTATGTAGGCAAGGGAGAACATTGTGGACATGGCGTGTTTACGACATAAAAAATCATGATGGAGGATTAGGGAATTGCGGTCCACACATTTTTGATGTGCGGCTGCAGATAGGAAGTGCGCACCGCACAATTGCAAGTGCGACCGCTCTTCTGACAAGCAAACTTCAGAGGCTTAGATGGACATATAGGTCTCAAGAAGTAGACCTCAGATGGACTTAAGTGCGGCCTCTCTTCGATTTTTGCGGTCCGCACAATTAAAGTGCAGCCTCAGAAGCACTTGCCTTCACTAGGTTGTTCAAAACACAAAACTGCAGACCGTACAAAATCACGTGTGGCCGCAAAATTCAAAATTGATGAATCGCCGGTTAATTGGCACTCAGATTTTGCAATTACTTGTACAAATCGATATGATAACAATGGTATAAACATGAAATCTCACTAACACAATCCCATAGAGCATGCATTATCAACTACCTAGTACAGATTTACGCCACATAAGAACCAGGTCCTTCTATAATCAGTGCACGCAAAAATTAGACACCACATAAATCAACCCCCTTGTGTGGTATTGAAGTATAAAACATCAATTGATATCAGAGCGGGTTCTCCTTGAAGAGGCTTACACCTTAGGAGAAGATCAATATGAGTGAACCACCTGGAAACTAGGAAGGACAATCCACTGTTAGGCCACCACTCTTAAATGGCCAGTACTACTCTTGGTGGAAAAACAGGATGAGAGATCACATTATAGGAGAGGACTATGAGCTACGGGACATTGTCATCGATCGTCCACTGGCTACCTTGAAGAAAAATGTTGAAGGAGTAGATGTGCCAAAGACAAGAGCGTATTACACTACTGAGGACTTGAGGAAATGGGAGAAGAATTCTAAAGCCAAGAAATGGCTTGTTTGTGGACTTGGTCCAGATCAGTACAACAGAATCCAAAGTTATACCACTGCTAAGGAAATTTGGGACACTCTGTAAGTGGCTCATGAAGGAACACCTCAGGTGAAGAGATCCAGAGGAACTCTATTGTATTCTGAATATGAGAACTTTGCTATGAAGGAAGGAGAAACCATTCAAGAGATGTACACAAGGTTCATTGCACTGACAAATGAGCTAAAATCTCTTGGAAGGATTATTCCTGAAGAAGATAGAGTTGAGAAGATACTGACAAGGGTTTTGCCTATCACTTGGGAGAGAAAAATCACTGCCATTCAGGAATCAAAGAATATTGCTACTCTCCCACTGGATGAATTAATTGAAAATCTTACTGCCTATGAACTTAGGAGACAAACCATGAAAATGGATGTACCTAAGAAGGAAAGGAGCTTGGCACTCAGAATAACTGAAGGTTCTAATCTAGAAGGTGATGAAATGGCTATGATCACCAAGGACTTCAAGAAGTACCTGAGGAGAGGAAATGGTTCTTCGAGAAGTGGAAGCTATAGCAAGTCAAAATCTCCTGAGAAGCAAACCAATGATGGCTGCTACAAGTGCGGAAAGACTGATCACCACATCAAGAACTGTCCTCTATGGGAAATTGAATGGAAGAAGGAAAGAGCTGAACGAAGGAACAGGTTCAACCCAAGAAAAGAAACAACAACGGACCAATCAAGGCTACGATCGCTGCTTGAAGAGAAAGCTCAGATGATGATGGTGAGGATGAACAAGCACTAATGGCCATTGGAGAAACTGAGGTAAGTGTAATTCATCTCAAAGACAAAATTAAATTATTGTCTAAAGAAAGGTTATTTGAGTTACTTCTAGAACTAATTGATAAATCTGAGGATGTAAACAATGAAAAGGAACAGTTGTCTAAATAATGTGTGATTTTGAAGGCTAAGTACAAAAACCTGAAGCTTAGGGTTAGAGAAACTGTAAGTGAAAATATTGTGTTGAAGAACCTGGTTCATGTACTTGACTCAACTGTCCTAGAGCT